GTTCTTGCAGAAGACCCGGGTTCAAATCCCAGCACCCACATAGCAGCTAACAACTGTCCATAATTCCAGTTCCAGGGGATCCAATGGCCTCATGTCCTCTGTGGGCATTGCATGACATGGGTGCACTTACCTACATGCAGGCAATACACACATACACATAAAATGAAATAAAATATTAAAAAAAGAAAAGAAAAAAAAAGGAGGGGAGGAGAGGGGAGAAGAAAAGTCAGATGAGGACTCATGTAAGGCAAGGCCAGAAAGGGTCCCTCAGCATATAATATCTTTTTGCATGAAAATTCATCAACTAGAAGTTCAGTCAACCTCCTCAATACATTCTAATGGAACTAAATTCAGTCCTGCCATTCCCTATTCCAGGTATGAAAATGAAAGTATGCTGAAATTATGTGGTCTAACTAGTCCCATTCTGAAATTATTTGCAGATTTAAGTCATCTCATTAGGATAAACAGAGATCTGATTTATAAAGGCTGATGATTTACAAATAACGCACGAAATCCCAAGAATTTTAGAAGCCTGGCATCAGGAAGACCACAAAAGTTATTTTATTATATCATACTGTCCAAAAAAACAAGTTCCACATGCAAGGGTCCCAGTATAACAATGCATACAGGAAGTGCTAAATGTTCTATTTAGTAAATGAATAATGGGTTCTTAGTTTATAAATCAGGTCTTGTAATTTGTTTATACTCCCTCATTTAATTCTTATGACATAAAAATTAGCTAGTATACTTGTTGCTGTGGTTTGAAAGCTTACATTCTCTCTAAAATTCATGCTGAAATTCAGTAACCATTTATAACAGTATTAAGTGGTGGCCAGGAATGGTGGCAAGTTCATACAGTCCAATCACTCTGGAAAGCTAAGGCTGGCCTGTGTACCTAAGGAGAAATGTGTGACTCTTGGAGGTCCTGCCCTTATGAACAGATCAATGCTGTCACCAGAATAGGTCCTTTCCCTCTGGTTCTCTTTTGTTCTTTACCAAGTAATGGAAATTGAAGTTATTCATCAGGCCTTCTTCATGTTAAATTAGGGTAAAGAGTTTAGTTTCCAAAGTTTTATGTAACACTCAACAGTCCATATGTGACTTTTTTCAATTAAAAGTTTTCTGGACAGGTTCACCTTGGAAAACAGCATTTTCGTATCTGGCTGATCAAAATAGAAACATCATGTAGCCCAGCTGTCAACTCTTGACCTCAGGCCTCCAACCCCCGAGTGCTGGGATTACTGAGGTGTCCCACCAATGGCTATTTCTTTTCCATAATTACTGACTGCACTTTATTGGAGCAACATCCCTTTCCTGGATTAGGGCAATAACATCCTTAATCAATTAACACTTCCACTTTTACCCTCTCATATCTTTCACACAGCAAGAATCCAGAGTGAGCTATTAAAATTGAAAATACAGTCTGGTTTTGAAACCTTCATTGGTTCTGAACAAACAAAGTGAAATTCAAAACTCTTTTGACTGTTTTAAGTCTTCTCTCAACCTTATCTCTGGCAACGCTCCCTCTAATCACAATGGTCTTGTCACATTAACCTTGTTTTTATTACTCTCATAATTTTTGTATTTTTCTACCTGCCTGAAATACCTGCTCACTTTCAATCACTAAAAACAATCCACATCGGCTTTGTTCATTTGCTGCCCAAGAACTAACCACTTCTATCTTCTATTATTCAGCCAATATCATTCTAACACAAAAAGGGCGTAGGAGTTAAACCAAGGAACACAATCGAAACAGGACAAGCTAAAGGTGGTGGGGAGCTGAATCTTAATGTTCTCAAAAACCTTTCGCTTGGTATTTTGACTGGGATTGCACTGAATCTATAGACAGCTTTTTCTTTTTCTTTTTTTTTTCAATCTTTTTGAGACAGGGTCTCCTTGTAACCCCAGCTAGTCTGGAACTCGCTCTGTAGACCAAGCTGGCATTGAACTCTCAAAGATTCGCCTGCCTCAGCCTCCCAAATGTTGGGATTAAAGGCGTGCTCCACCACGCCCGGCATTCAAAATTTTTAATCAATCAAGAAAAAGACATCCCAAGTAATCCTACCTGAAATAAGGCCCAAAAAATGCCCAAAAGAAAAGCTAACGACTCAAAATGCATTAGTCAATTCTGGCAAAACAGAAAAAATTACGGCGGCTGTTCAAACTATTAGGGTCTGCTTAGGAAGGGGGACTACAAAGAACGCGACCCCGCCCTCCCTGCTTCTGCCACGTACTTGCCCCACACCACGCGGCGGAAGGCCCACCCTGAACAGGGCCCCAAGGATCCGGAGTAGAAAGCCAGGGCGGCGATGGGTTCTCAGGGTCCGAGGCGGGCCACGCTGTCCCGAGAGCCCACTCAGCCGGTCTCCATACCCTTCGCCACCCAGCCGCCGGCTCCAAAGCTCTCACGAAGTTCGCCCCCGAAAACCCGACCCCACGCACCGCCCGGAAGGCCGCCGTAAGGCCGACGAAGCTGGGCTCACCTGGGGCTGCACAGTGCTCGACAGGGAGAACATCTCGCCACCTCAGCCACCTCCCCACGGCCCACTCGGCCCCGCTTCTGGCTCGGGGGGGGGGGAATTGGGAGGGGGGCGGGCGTAGCCCTCTCGTCGCGGCTTCCTCTTTTTCCGCCCCGTGCTTTTCTCGCCCTTTCCTCCCAAAACAAAAAATGGCTTCCCCTCCTACAGCTGCTACGACATCTGCCCCGGAAGCCCGGGCGCTCAAGGGGCACTACTTCCGGCGCACGCGGCGTTCGACACTCGGGGCCCCGCCTCTTCCGGCCAGCGCTGCGCGCGCGGGGCTTTTCTCACACTGAAAGGGAAACTACGGTCCTCCTCCGTGTAGGTCAGCCAAGCACATCACCGTCTAGGGGCTCCGGCCGCTGCCCGCTCACCAAGGCTCTCCACATGGTGCGATTTGGCTAGCGTCCGCACTTCATCCCTAGCCATTGCCTCAAAAGTCCGCCGGTGTGTACGTCCCGCGGGGGATGGCCGGGGAAACGCGACTGGGACCCTGGCTTGACCCAGCAGACTGCTCTGGAGATCACGAAGCCCTCGATTCGAATTGACGTTTCAGCTACCCTTCGGTCGGCCCGGGCCACGGTGCAGGGCCCCACAGTCTCACCCCTCCAAGCCAAGCGGAGCAGGGCGGCCTCCCTTGCGCGGTAGCGTCACGTGTGTGCGGCGTGGGCGGAGCCTCCGTTTGGGGCCGCGGTCCTCACAGTCCAGTCTCTCTAAGCTTCGGGCGACGGGGCGGGGCCTCCCTAACGCCGTGACGTCACGGGCGCGCGGCGTGGGTGAAGCCGCCCTTTGAGGCCCCGGTCCAGCCCATCCAAGCCTCAGAGCCGGGCTACGGGGCGGGACCTCCCTACCGTCGTAGCGTGACGGGCGCGCCCGGCTGGGCGGAGCCTCCCTATGAACCCGGTTGGCGGGAGTGGCGACTGTCGCCTGAACTGTCCAGCTATGGAGCCCACTGCAGGGAGCGAGAACGGAGGTGGCGTGGCCACCAGGGAGTGGGGGAAGAGCATCCCGGTGCCCAGGCCGCCCTCCATTGAGGACTTCACCATAGTGAAGCCCATTAGCCGAGGCGCTTTCGGGAAAGTGTATCTGGGACAGAAAGGCGGCAAGTTGTACGCAGTGAAGGTAGGAAGTCTAGAAGGAAAGGGTCTTCAGCGCGGTCCGCTGTGGCCCTCCCTCCTTCCCCCCCTGACTTGGACAGGCTCCCGGGCTGCTAGAGCAGCCGGTCTTTCTGGAGCTTGCAGAGTCCTGGGAGCTGCCTGCTGCCTATGGGCTGAGTGCAGAGATCAGGTGTCGACCCTTTCCCTTGCCTTATCCTACTTTTCTGTATGTTAGGCATCGGTGCCCAGTGAAAATAGCCTTTTCCCTTGGCATTTTTAACAAATGAGGAAACTGAGGCCAATGGCAAAGACACTTCAAACCACAGCCATGATTCATGAGTAGTGTTTCAAAATCCAAAAGGCCTTAGGCAGTTGGTTGTGTTTTCTGTTTGCTTTGACATACAGAATCGCTGAAATTTTGCTATCACAAACGACTGGTTTGTAGACAATGATTTCAAATCCCACTCTTACCAATTGTTTTTATGTTGTGAAATTTTAAAATATTAATACTACCTATTCACTATATACCTTCTGAATCGTTTTTGTTTTGTTTGTTACTGATTAGGGCATCATCGGAATTAAGTTTCAGACTTTGAGTAAGTTGCAGATTGTATCTTTTATCTATTTAGTAATAGCCAGGAACAAGTGCTATTAAACCAAAAGATTTCTCCTCATTTTTAGGCGGTTCCCCAGCAATCAGGAGACAGGGGCAGGCATATCTCTGGAAGTTCAAAACCATCCTGGTCTAAATAGCAAGTTACAGGCCAGTCATGGATACAGAGTGAGACCCTGTCTCAAAATAAAAATCATAGTTTCTTTTCAAACTTTGTTGTGATATTCAGATTGTAAATATATTTACAGAGTAAGCAGAAATGGATCCTAAATCAGGCCTCTATCACCTATATATAATCCTAAGGACATTCAATATGCACATGAAAATTTTCTAGTCTGTTCTTGGTTCTCAACCACTCCCAAGGTTCCAGATTACTGTTTCCCTGCTGTTTCACTGATGAGTGAGGCTAATAATAAAGGAAAGCAGACTATTGACAATTTCAAATTCCTGGTGAGCATTGCCCTGAATAGCCAACACACACACTTAACAATCCCCTTCACCTAAGTGCCAAACGTTGAACGTCCTGTATTTTCTATTTAATAGCACCACCATTGTCCCCACCCTCAAACTTGTTATGTAGCGGAGACTGGCCGGCCTTGAACTCTTGATCCTCCTGCCTTCACCGCCAAGTGCTGAGATGACAGGCATGTATCTTTGTGCTCTGTGTCTAACTCGCTTTCTCTCTCCACAAGATTACCTTTTCTGGGCATTTCACATAAATGGAATCATTCAATTTGTGATTTTTTGCATCTTTTGTTGTTTTTTTTTTTCTTCATTTATCTGGTGTTTTTAAAGTTCATCAAGCCTTCGTTCCTATACCTGGTCTATTGGAATAGTCCCCTAACTGGACTCATGTTTTTAAATCCATTCCTTAGGCTGTATTGTGCAAGCTAAAGTTCAGAGTCCTTAAAAAGGCAGTCACACAACCAAGTTCAGGGCTTTACATCTCCACTTTATCTTCCCCATAGCCTATGTTCTAGCAACAGCAGACAACTGACTACTGCTCCAAGCTATTAATTATTTTCTTGCCCCAGAGTTTATGTTTATGTTGTGCTGGTTCCTCAAGTGCTTTTCTTCTACCTCTCTCTGCTCTTTGCCCAGCAAGTCATGTATTGCTGTTTACCTCGCTTCCCTAAAACCTCTGATCTTTCAAATTCAAGCTATTGAAATTGCTACTTGCTTCAAACATTGCCAAGATTTTTACTTCTATAGACAGAACATCACACAGTCATTAATTGTTGACAGGAAAATACTAATCTGTTCAATAAATATTTGAGGATCTGGGGTATAGTGGTGAACAAGGCAAACAAGGCTTCACAGAGCTTCCAGTCCAGTGATATGGTAGTTACAGGTGTTGTTACAGGCTTGCTTTGTCAATTTCCCTCAGTTACCCTCTGTACAGTGCTGGGAAGAAGGCCTTACAGGGGTTAGGCAAGTGTTCTACCACTGAACTGAAACCTTAACCCTCCCCTCAGTTTTCTTAAGGATGTAAAGCTAGTACTTACCATGTAGTAAAGATTTTATTAAATGCTTTAAAGAATGCCTTTTTTCTTATACTAGTAATAAGAGTTGATCCTCAAGTTACTGTTTAATTTAGTGGTCCAACTTTAATTTGGATTAGAGTTTGTTTTTGTACTAATTACTTTGAAACTTAAAAAGCGTAATTTGGTCAGAAGTGGTGATAACATACCCAAAATCCCAGCATCTGGGCACTTGAGTGATTGAGGCAGGAGGATCAGGAGTTCAAAGCCATCCTCAGCAACATAATGAATCTAAAATATGTAAAACTCTATCTTTAAAAAAAAAAAAACAAAAAAACCTAGGACTGAAGAGATGGTTCCCAGCACCCACATGGTGGCTAAGTACCATTCATAACTCCAGTTCCCAGAGATCCAAAGCCCTCTTCTGATCTCTGTGGGAAGAATTCACCCATACCCTTACATACATGCATGCAAAACACTCATATACATTAAAAAAATGAATAAATGTTTACATGTTTTATTATTTTTATTTTATGTGTATGAGTGTATTGCCTGTAAGTGCACTCATGTCATGCAATGCAATGTCAGAAGATGGTGTCGGATCCCCTAGAACTGGAGTTACGGATGGTTGTTAGTCACCATGTGGGTGCTGGGAATCGAACCCAGGGCCTCTGCAAGAACAGCCAGTGCTCTTAACCTCTGACCGAACTCTCCAGCCCCAATCAATACCTTTTTTAGAACTTACCTTATAGGGCTGGAGATAGAACTCAGTGGTAGAGCACCTAAGCCTTGGGTTCGGTACCCAGAAAAGTGTAGTTGTTTTGTTTTGTTTTGTTTTTTTTGTCTCCTGTAAGTCAGCATTTGAGAATGTTTCAGTGTTGTTTTGTTTTGCTTTGTTTGTGGGTATTTTTCAAGATTTGAGTCTTGTTCTGTAGCCCAGGCCAGCCTCAACCTCCCCGGTGTGCTGATACGAAGGCATGTTGCACAACACTCAACTTTAGTCATTCTTAAATGAGACTGTCCAGATTTACAATATTTTGACTCTATTCTTGTCTCTCAAAGAATGAGATGCTACAATGTAAATATGTACATATACATATAAATATATATTGCTATTAATCTAACCCAGGTTCCTGGTTATAGGGAGAGGGGGAGCACTTATAGAAACTTTATTGTCTTTTGACTTTGTTATAAGAAAATAAACAGCAATGTTTTCCCACAAATATATGGATCAGTCATGCAGTGTTTAATTCCATTTCCTTCTCAAAATGCATATATTTTTGCCACTTAGTTCTAAGACAAGCAGAAATATCTTGAATCAAGATGTTTTGTGTTTTTTTATTTGGTTTCACCATCTGAGCTGTTTTTTCTGACAGCTTCCTGATGTCAGTGTGAGATCTGAATGACCTCTGTTTTCATGATGGCAACTTGAAACCTCTGAATAGTGCAATAAAAAAAATAAAGCAAACTTGTCTGTTGTCATGTTATCTTTTACAGGTTGTCAAAAAAGCAGACATGATCAATAAAAATATGACTCATCAGGTGCAAGCTGAGAGAGATGCACTAGCACTGAGTAAAAGTCCATTCGTTGTCCATTTGTATTACTCCCTGCAGTCAGCAAGCAACGTCTACCTGGTGAGTAAATAGCTTTATGCTTTTTCTTCATCAATTCACCAATCACTAAATCTAGTGATTTAAGAGTGCAGTATCTGTGTTCATTCTACTTGCATTTGAATTCCAGCTCTGGTACTTACTAGTTTAATGACCACAACCAGTTTATATGTTGCGTTAATTAGAATTCCTCAAAGAAAAAGAATCAATATGATGTGTTTGTGAGTGTGTGTATACATATATGTGTATATATGAACACATAGAAACAGACACAAGAGAGAAGAGAGACTTATTTGAAGGAATCCAATCATTCCACTGTTACTAGGTGGCAGATCCAAAAGTCCATTAAGTTAGATTGTCACTCTGGGTACCCATAAAGGATTAGTGTTACCATCTTCACAAGCATTTGGAGGCAGAATTGCTTTTCTTGTGAGGATTTCAGTCTTTTTTTCATCTTAAAGGCCTTCAGCTGATTAAGGGCTACCCACATTATGGAGAATAACCTGCTTTATTTAAATTTTAACCTCATCTAAAGAATACTTTAGGTAGGCTATAAAAATGGTACCTAATCTAAACTCATCTGGTACCTAATGATTTAATCTGTTTCCTATCTTTGAATAAAACTTAGGGCATTTAAACTTATTAAATGTGGTACAAATATTTAGTGAGATAGTCAGAAACTGTGGAAAGGAAAAGGTCTGTAGTATAGCTTTGAGCTCTTTCTGTCATTGCATCAAGATGAACTTACAAAAAAAAAGCTATTTTTGTTATCTTTATTTTTAACAAGCTACAGTTCAAATGAATGATAAAATGTGATCATACAGTAAATGCTCCCCATTTTTTTCCACTTAATAGTACTATCATTCTTTTGATGACATAGAATTCTATTAGTTCGGTCATGGATGTGATAATTTCTTTAGTGATTATACTATTGATAAAATTGTTTTTGTTTGTTTGCTTTTAGTCAAGTGAATTTCAGTACTGGGTTATAATGATTCATCTGAAGATGACACCTGGTGACTCTAGGGAGATGGTTTTTGTGTGAAGAACAAATTTGTTTTGGAATTTACTTTCAAAGCAAAGCTGAAAGATGTATGTGGTGGCACATGTCTATACTCTCAGCACTTGGGAGGCAGAGGTAGGAAGACAGAAAGTTCAAGGCCGCCAGCCTGGGCTACATAGGAGACCTGCCTCAAAAAAAATGAAAATAAAAACTCAGCAAGGTTAAGGAGAGCAGAAAACCACTACATTATTAGACAGTATAAAATAGCGTTCTTTTTTTTTTTTTTTTGAAAGGTGATTCGTTATAAGAGAGTGAATGCCAAATGTATTACTCACTTTTCTGTTACTCAGATAAAACATCATGATCATCTGGGCGTGGTGACATACACCTTTAATCCCAGTACTTGGGAGGCAGAGGCAGATGAATCTCTGAGTTCAATACTACATAGCAATTTCAGGCCAGCTGGGGCTACAGACAGACTCTGTCTCAAAAAGGCCAAAAAAAAAAAAAAAGTTCATAATGGCAGGGAGAAAACAGCAGGCATGGTGGCAGGAGCCAAATTTGAGCACTCACATCTTCAAACATACACTGGAAGCAGAGCAACTAGGCTGGAGGGGGCAAGGCTGTGGATTCTCAAAGCCAGCCCCCAGCGAGGTACTTCCTCCAGCAAGACCATACCTCGTAAACCTCTGCAAACAGTGCCAACATCTGTAGCCAAGTATTCAAATATGTGAGCCTGTAGGGGACAGTTCTCATTCAAACCACCGCACCAAATGTCAAAGTAATCAGCCAGGCATAGTGGGACACACCTTTAATCTCAGCATCAGGAGTCAGAGGCAGGCAGAGCTCTGAGATTGAGGCCAGCCTGGTCTCCATAAGTAGCCAACTGGGGCTATAGGAAGATCCTGTCTCAAAAATTAAAAGAAAAAGAGTAATTGACTTTCCATCTTCTAAACCAGAGGTTGTAAACACTGTGTACTGTAAACAGTACACTGTGGCCCTTACTAATCCTGATTCTTAAAAGCTAAGAATGGTAAAGAGTGCTTGCTGCGTATTCATGAAGACCTAAACCCACGTAAATAGCCAGATATCGTTGTAGACACTCCTGTAGCCCTAGTGCTACGGGGAGTGGAAACAAGGACCACTGAGGATTACTGTCCACCGTCCTAGCTCCAGATTCAGTGAGAGACCTTGTTACAAGGGAATAAGGTGGAAAGTGATGGAACAGTACACCCCATGTCCTCTGACCTGTGTGCGCATACATGTGCACACATATACCAATAAAGACTCTGATACATGAAAATTACAATGAAATTTGGATTTCAGTGAGTAAAGTTTCGTGGAAATCTAGCCACCTTTTTATTTTTGTCTGGTGCTACAGTGGCAGAGTGAAATAGCTGTAACAGTGTCCCATGGAGCCTAAAATAGTTATTATCTGGCTGTTCACAGAAATAAATAAGGGGACATCCTTTAATACCATGTCCAAAGAAGGTAGAGGAGTCATTTTGTTACCAGTGGTTATTGTCCAGACCAGATGTTTCCAGGTTGTTTGCATCTTATTCGAAGAATTGAAGAAACATACCTAGTGCTGACAAGATGGTGCAGCAGTTAAAAGCACTGGCTTCTCTTCCAGAGGACCAGGATTCAGTTCCCAGCACCCACAATATGGCTATCATCTGTAACTCCAGTGCCAGGGGTTTCAGCACACTCTGAGGGCACTATATTGCATGTGATGCACTTATATACATGCAGGCAAAACTAACACACATAAAATAATTTTAAAAAGGCTGGGTGTGATGGCACACACCTGTAGTCCCAGCACTTGGGAGGCAGAGGCAGGCGGATCTCAGTGAGTTCAAGGCCAACCTGGAAAAATAATAATAATAATAATAATAATAATAATAATAATAATAATATTTTTTAAATGCCGCAAGTAGCAGGGTAGCAAGTTTTATTCAAAAGCATAGTGAAAGTATAGGTTAGATATACTGCAGAGCAGCAACAGACTCACTAGTATTGCCCAGAAGCACCTGGTGATGGCCTGGGGTTTCCTTTGGTGGAAAACCCAGGAGGAATTAGTCGCTAGGAGCGGAGTGGGTGGCTTTCTGTTTTGATTGGTAAGCGTGGGTTATGTAAGCCTTTGCTTACTATACATGTCCTCTCCTATGCATAAGATGATAGATAAGGGGTTTCCCTAAAAGTTTGTTTTTAGGGCATAGTTTGTCTTACTGTACATGTACCCCAACCAGTCAGGGCTGGATTGACCTACCACCCTGAGTTTCAGGATGTGTTCGGCCACAAAGAGAGCATTACAAAGAGTGGCTAAGGAGCTAGAGGTCAGAGTGACCTTACTGGTTTGTATGTGTGCAGCTTGATGCAGATGGGGTGTCTGCACAGCTAGATCCTAACGGGGTGTATGTGCACAGCTAGATCCTAATGGGGTATATGTGCACAGCTAGATGCAGATGGGGTGTCTGTGCACAACTAGATGCAGATGGGGTATATGCACAGCTAGATCCTGATAGGGTATCTGTGCACAGCTAGATGCTGATGGGGGTCCCAGCTTACAGAGTGCTTTGTTGGGCAAAAGATGTGTGTGTAGCTCAAGACAGTCTCGAGTTGGTAAGCTCTTCCTATGTTTGCCAGCCTCAGCTTAACCCTTGATTCTTCTGAGGCCATGACCATACCTGTAGCATCAATCCTGAGTTAGCTCCTTGGTAGCCAGGAACTTCCCTGTTACCAGAGTGGGTGAAATAAGTATGTGTAATTATTGTTCAGCTTTGTAGCTGTTTTTTCTCTGTAGAATTACTGTAGTAAGTAGACAACTATAATACTTTTATTTCTTTTTTGGTTTTTCATTTATTATATGTGATCCTATACATTCTAAGCAAGCACTCAGCTGTATCCCCAGTTCTGTTTTCATTTCTCCTGGACATTAGACAGTAGAACATCATTATTGGTTTAGATCCTTCAAAGGACCTTGTTACACAAAATGTTTTCCACAAACAAGCAATGTCAACACTATCTAGGGCTTTATTATAAAGACAGAATGAAAAAGAAAAAATATATATACGAAGGCTAGAGATATATCTCAATGGTACAGTGCTTGCCTCACATGCACACAGCCCTGGGTTCAGTCCCCAAGTACTAAGGAAAAAAGCAAAGAACAAGAATCTCAAGCTCCTCTCTAAACCTGCTGAAATATGAAGTGTCTCATCTAATAGAAGTCACTGAAAAGGCTCCATATCCCTCTAACATTTCAGCTGAAAATTCATAACCTGGATCAAATCCATGAGGAAATAATCTAATAACCCCAAGTTAAAAGAGTTTTCTACAGGCATGGTGACACACACCTTTAATCCCAGCACTTGGGAGGCAGAAATAGGCGGATCTCTGTGAGTTCAAGGCCAGCCTAGTCTACATATTGAGTTCCAGTCCACCTAGGGCTACAGAGAGACCCTGTCTCAAAAAGACAAAAAAAGAGTTTTCTGCTAATAAGCCTGTTTTCTTCGACAATGTTTATATCATAAAATTGACTTACACGAAAGAAAGACTGGAAAATTGCTCCAGATTAAAGGAGTTTAAGTGATGTAACAGTGATTATAAAGCCTTGTATTACCATGGCCTGTGACTAGGGGCTAAGGAGGATGCTATAAAGAACAATATTGAGATGGTCACAAAGTTTAAATATGAACGATGTATGAGGATGTCATTGCTCTGCACTTCTATAAGGGTGTCTGTTAGGCAATTCATGATAAAAAGTTGAATGGCAGTCATGTCACAAAACAAGCCTGTAATCCCAGCATTTGGGAGGCAGAGGCAGGAGGATTGCAAATTCAAGGCCAACTTAAGCTGTATAGCAAGTTCTAGGCCTCCCTAGAATACACAGAAATACCTGCCTTAAAACAGCAATTTTAGAGTAAAGGTTCTTGAGCTTTTTAACTTTATTATCAGATTATTCAGCAAAAAAGTAACATATTAGCCAGGTACAGTGGTATGCACTTGTGATTACAGCCATACAGGATCCCAGGAGTTGAAGAGCAGCCTGAACAACATGGTAAGACTGCTCAAAACCTAAAATCACATATTAGTACCAAGTTTTCTAAGGTCCTATTGTCTTTTCCAAACTAAATGGCTTAATAAAAGTATGTACATATAAAATACTTATATTTATTTAAAGACCATAGATTAATATGTAAAGTTAATATTAAAACATATGGACATGAGCCACATATGTGAACCAAGATAATGGGCAAATGAGAAATCATTCTAATATTCTTAGAACTTTCCTGTAACTCTGAATTTCTGTTCAAACTAGCCAGTTCAGTTTTTAACCAAAAATCAGTGTGATGAGCCACACCTGGTGATACATGATTATAATCCCAGTACTTGAAAAATTGAGGCAGAAAAATGAATTCAAGTCCGTGGGGTGATAATAAGAAAATGTGTTTTATTGCATAACTATGCTATATGTATGTGTGTGTATATGTATATAGATATATATATACACACACATATACATGTATGGAAACTGCAATGCTCAAATATATATTTTAAGTGTATTTTTATTTCATAATATTAAATTCTTTTTTATAGGTAATGGAGTACCTTATTGGTGGAGACGTCAAGTCTCTCCTACACATATATGGTTACTTTGATGAAGAGATGGCTATAAAATACACTTCTGAGATAGCACTGGCTTTAGACTACCTGCACAGGCATGGAATCATCCATAGGTAAAAACTGACTTCTATAAACTATTACTTAAAATTTATTCCATGTTTGAATCTTAAATATTTACAGAAATAAGTAGTTGCTCATATTTCTAGTTTATCTGCAGTTGTAGTTTGCGTTTAGAAATTCCATTGAATCTTGTTTAATCCCCCAATGTTTTCTTGAATGTGTTGATTTGATCATGAATATAGCATTTTAATGTGAAGAATATTGAATTTTTTCCCACTTCTCTACCATCATACAAAAGGTATATGTTTTATGGTCCTAGCTGATTTCTATGTTTTCTTATGTTCAAAGAAAGGTTAAGTAGCTCTGCTCTGCTAAAGCTTAACCACACCATGCTTTAAAAAGATATATATAAATTTGAACAGGCTAGAGAATAAAATACCCATAAGCAACACCAAACATATTCCATTAGTAATCCATTTAAATTTTTGTAGATTCAGATATTCAATAGGTGTTTCTGGGAGCTGTTTTCTATACTTTTCCAAGCCACCCATGAATACATTTACTTTAAAGGAAATAAATAAGTTGCCTCTTTTATAAACACATATCCTGCCCCTGATGGTATTTTAACATCAAATCTACCCTTTTGTGTTGTTGTTGATATCTACTATGTGTCTTTTGTGTGTCCAGGGATTTGAAACCAGACAACATGCTTATTTCTAATGAGGGTCATATTAAGCTGACCGATTTTGGCCTTTCCAAAGTTGCTCTGAATAGAGGTAAGAAAAATAGCAGTATGTGCCTTTTAAAGCCCAAGAAATTTTGGAGACTATAATTGTTTTCTTTGTTAATTTTTGTTGATATCTACTATGTGTCTTTTGTGTGTCCAGGGATTTGAAACCAGACAACATGCTTATTTCTAATGAGGGTCATATTAAGCTGACCGATTTTGGCCTTTCCAAAGTTGCTCTGAATAGAGGTAAGAAAAATAGCAGTATGTGCCTTTTAAAGCCCAAGAAATTTTGGAGACTATAATTGTTTTCTTTGTTAATTTACATTAAATGAATGTGATGGT